TGGCTGTTAAGTTTACCTCTTCCCTAAGCCTAGGAATCTGATTGGCTGTTAAGTTTACCTCTGCCCAAAGCCTAGGAATCTGATTGGCTGTTAAGTTTACCTCTTCCCTAAGCCTAGGACTCTGGTTGGCTGTTCAGCTTACCTCTTCCCTAAGCCTAGGAATCTGATTGGCTGTTAAGTTTTTTCTTGCAGCTGCCCTCCTGCCATCACCTCCTCCGTCACTAACCAATCAGCAAGCAGGAAACCTTGCACATGTAGCACGCCATTCGTAGCCGCTGATGCTAGACTAACATGCGAGAAAAAGGAAGCTGCTGATTTGTAGCTGCTGATTCAGAACTAACCAGACTGCTAACGCAGTGAGAAAAATCTTGCCAGCTTTCAGCATTCAACTAATGGCTGATGAACTCTTCTATTATACTTTCTTGATGATTTTCAGTTATTCTTTTAAGCAAAAATCTTTTTTATTATGATGAAATCACATTCTGGTATAGTAATTATACCATGTATGGCTTTCCTTCTTTTTTATAATTCACACAGTAACAAGATTTTGTTTGATTTTCCTTGATTTTCTTGATGATTTGATTTTGTACTTTCCTTCTAACGTGGATTGTGTGTGGCGGCTGGTTTGTGTCTGTCATTAACACCAGACGGACGGGGGGTGATGGCAGCAGCGAGGTCAGGCTCAAGGCCTTCAAAACCACAGGTGAGGTACAGGTGTGGCACCTGCACAGGGTAAAGACACCTGCACAGGTAAGACACCTGCACAGGTGAGACACCTGCACAGGTGAGACACCTGGCACGGGTGAGACACCTGCTGACAGGTGAGATACCTGGTACAGGTGAGGTACAGCTGAGGCACTGCCGTCCACAGCTGCGTAGGTGACTGCATGTGGAACCAGCCAGTTTCAACTATGCTTTATTAGATTTATAGCAGACATGAAATGTCCTGAAGCACATTAATTTAAATGGAAACACAAACTACAAACAATGTACTCACAGTTGCTATCCTTGCTGTTTTTGTAACAAGACTGTGGCTTGTCATAGAGTTCAGAACTAGCTTCATTTATAAACTACTTTATAAGGTCCTTGGAGGCTGCTTTCTGTCTCAGAAAATGCAGGGTAGTTGACAGTTATATGTAGACATGCATGTGGTATGTTGTATGCTGCGATACCGTTGTATAGTTCCATCTATATTCTGTTGTCTGCAGTTCCCCATCGAGATGTCCATGCCCTGGATCCTGACTGACCACATCTTGGAGACCAAGGAACCCTCTATGATGGAGTAAGTCGGACATATACAATAAATCTATGTAGAAGAAAAATGGATGTGATTTACAGTTCTAGGCTGGTAGAAGAAAACATGACAGAATGTTTTATGTCGTACAGTAGAAGAAAAGGTAACAGAACATTTGACCCCCAGATTCATGCTGTACAGTAGAGTAAAGTTGACAGAACATTTGTCCCCCCAGATACGTGTTGTATAGTAGAAGAAAGTTGGCAGAACATTTGTCCCGGCAGATACGTGCTGTACCCACTGGACCTGTACAATGACAGCGCTCACTAAAGTTAACTGCACATTTGTACCCCCAGATTCATGCTGTATACTAGTTATACAGAAATGTAACAGCATATTTGTCCCCTTAGATACGTGCTGTACTGTAGAGGAAAGCTAACAGAACGTTTGCCCCCCCAGATACGTGCTGTACCCACTGGACCTGTACAACGACAGCGCTCACTACGCGCTGACAAAGTTCCGCAAACAGTTCCTGTATGACGAGGTGGAGGCAGAAGTCAACCTGTGCTTCGACCAGTTTGTCTACAAGCTCAGCGACCAGATCTTCACTTACTACAAGGCACAGGCAGCAAGGTACATGTTATATATACTATACAACATGCAGGTACATATTATATCTACTACAAGGCACAGGCAGCAAGGTATATGTTATATATACTATACAACATGCAGGTACATAATATATCTACTACAAGGCACAGGCAGCAAGGTATATGTACATGTCATATTTACTACATTACTACAAGGCACAGGCAGCAAGGTACATATTAAACATATCTACTACAACTTACTACAAGCTCAGCGACCAGATCTTCACTTACTACAAGGCACAGGCAGCAAGGTACATAATTATTAAACATTATCTACTACAATGCACAGGCAGCAAGGTACATATTATATCTACTACAAGGCACAGGCAGCAAGGTACATAATTATTAAACATTATCTACTACAATGCACAGGCAGCAAGGTACATATTATATCTACTACAAGGCACAGGCAGCAAGGTACATGTACATTGTACATATTACATATCTACTACACAACATGTAGGTACATGTCATATCTACTACAAGGCACAGGCAGCAAGGTAGATGTACATATTACATATCTACTACAAGGCACAGGCAGCAAGGTACAGTATATAACATATCTACTACATATCTGCTACGTGCCTGAGTATGGATAAAGGGCAGAGTTTCAAGACCAAGCCCTGTTCAACAGCATGTCACATTTTGCAGCTCTGCATGCTTTTGTCCAAGTCTTTGAATCATGTGTCTAAGCGGCTGATCTGTTTCTCTGTTCCGTAGCATCATGTTGGACAAGCGGTTCCGAGCTGAGTGTGCACAGCATGGCATACAGATCCCCTACCCACCTGCCAACCGCTACGAGACGTTACTCAAGCAGAGACATGTACAGGTGAGTCAAGCAGAGACATGTACAGGTGAGTCAAGCAGAGACATGTACAGGTGAGTACAGATCCCCTACCCACCTGCCAACCGCTACGAGACACTGCTCAAGCAGAGACATGTACAGGTGAGTACAGATCCCCTACCCACCTGCCAACCGCTACGAGACACTGCTCAAGCAGAGACATGTACAGGTGAGTCAAGCAGAGACATGTACAGGTGAGTCAAGCAGAGACATGTACAGGTGAGTACAGATCCCCTACCCACCTGCCAACCGCTACGAAACCCTGCTCAAGCAGAGACATGTACAGGTGAGTAACTCAAGCAGAGACATGTACAGGTGAGTAACTCAAGCAGAGACATGTACAGGTGAGTCAAGCAGAGACATGTACAGGTGAGTCAAGCAGAGACATGTACAGGTGAGTCAAGCAGAGACATGTACAGGTGAGTCAAGCAGAGACATGTACAGGTGAGTACAGATTCCCTACCCACCTGCCAACAGGTGAGTACAGCTACATTATGTAGCAAGTGGTAGGACAAGGTTGAAGGGGCTGGTCACCACATATGAATGTGTTTGAGTAAGAATAAACAGAGCAGAAGTTGATCTGCTAGCCCATGTGAAAGTAAACATTATGCATTTGCTTTCAAACTGTTTCCTTTATAGTGTGTACTTTCCTGTTATAAATGTTACAAGACAGCAGGGTAACTGTTTCTCCTATGTTTAGATCCTGGGCATCAGTAAACAGCCTGACCCATGTTTGTTTGTTTGTTTAGATCCTGGGCCGTTCCGTTGACCTGAACCGGCTGATCACCCAGCGGATCTCCACGGCGATGCAGAAGTCGCTCGACGTCGCGATCGGCCGCTTCGAGAGCGGAGACCTCACCGGCATTGTGGTCAGTGGGAATATCTGCTATTTCCCTAAATATTTCATCAGGTTGGAAAATACTTAGGGTATAGAATTTTCTTCTTACACAACCAGTAAGGTTCTCATCTGCTTACATGTACGTTTCGATGTCTATCAGACACCTTCCTCAGAGCTTCTGAGAAAACTCAAAAGTCCAGCAGAACTCCAGTCAGAAGCTCTGAGGAAGGTGTCTGATAGACATCGAAACATACTGGTTGTGTAAGAAGAAAATTCTATACCCACCATCTGATATTTTCTTTCCTTTCTTAGTTAGTCAGTTAAAGTCCTGTCCACAACCATACTTTGTGCATATGGCAGCGACCATCTCTGTTTCTGTAGCCATGGGGCCAGACAGGTGTGCAAACACTACAGCAGGAGGCTGGTCCGCTGGTTGTTGCTGTATCATGTTGTATGTTGGTTGTTACTGATGTTTGTTTGTTTTATGTGTATATAGGAGCTGGAGTGTTTGACAGAAGTAAACAGACTGACCCGTGTTTGTTTGTTTGTTTAGGAGCTGGAGTGTCTGACAGAAGTAAACAGACTGACCGACAAGTTGAATGTTGGTGTTACTAATGTTTGTTTATTTGTTTGTTTGTTTGTTTAGGAGCTGGAGTGCCTGACAGAAGTAAACAGACTGACCCACAAGCTCCTGTCGGAGCACGTTTCGCTGATGGATTTCGAGGCGATGTTCCGAGAAGCGAACCACAACGTGTCCGCTCCGTACGGCCGCATCACGCTGCACGTCTTCTGGGAACTCAACTACGACTTCCTGCCAAACTACTGCTACAACAACTCAACTAACAGATTTGTGCGAGCCGTTTTCCCGCTGTCCCAGGAGGTAAACAGAGAGAGAGCTCCGCCCAACACACCGCAGGATGTGTATGGTACCAAGGTAGGGTCGACTTTCCAAATGTGGACTAGCTTTGTTCTAGAACTAACATGAACCTTGCCCACCCTTTGCCCTTAGTTGTGTAGTGTGCATAGTTCAGTAGTTAGCGACCCCACCTCTTGACCAAGAGGTTTGGAGTTCGAATCCCGGCTGTTGTCGCTCACCCGACATGCACGCTACTGGAAAGGGTTGCAGACGGGACGTTAACCGTGGTCCTCTGTTAATTGTGCTTGTCGAAAAGAGCTAGGGGAATTCCCCCATACAATGAACCTGTAAATACTGTACATAGTGTCTGTCTTCTCTTGTCAAGACCAGTGGAAAAGTTTCTCATCGGTGAGCTGAAACTGGATTGAGATGACTTTCCTTTCCTTTCTAAGTGCTAACATGTTTCATTTTATTATAATGTTGACTAACCCCAGGAAGAATAGTGATCAAGCACTAATGGGGATCAAAATAAAAACAAACAAACAAACATGAAACTGCCCCCCTCCCCACCCACAGGTGTTAAACAATGCCTACAGCCACATCTACAACCTGTACACCGGGTTCCTAACATGTAACTGCCCCCCTCCCCACCCACAGGTGTTAAACAATGCCTACGGCCACATCTACAACCTGTACACCGGGTTCCTAACATGAAACTGCCCCCCTCCCCACCCACAGGTGTTAAACAATGCCTACGGCCACATCTACAACCTGTACACCGGGTTTGTCGGCTCGCCTCACTTCCGCGCCATCTCCCATCTCCTTGGTTACCAGGGCATCGCCGTGGTGATGGAGGAACTCCTCAAGATCATCAAGAGCCTGGTGAGTACAGGTCAAGGTCAGGTCAAGGTCAGGTCAAGGTCAGGTGAAGTTGTGTAGCACTAGGAATCCTGTTTTATACCATATGTGATTTCTAATACAGAGCCAACATTTGTAGCCTGCAAATTTTCAACTTCAACTATTTCAACTATTTTTTTACATCACGGCTCCAGGCCAGTATCAGACTGTACATATGGACTCTTATCTAACTAGCTATCCATGTATTAGCTCTTGAATTTTAGTAATTAGGATGTTAATATTCATTCTATACCCTTTTTCTTTCTTTACTATGTTAAATAGTCGTTGCCATACTTTGTACCATGTACAATTGTCGTGCAATAACGTTCTTCACTCTAATGTGTGTATTTCACCCCCCACAGATCCAGGGCAGTATCAGGCAGTATCTAACTCCTGTATAACATGTGTTTTACAGATCCAGGGCAGTATCAGGCAGTATGTAAAGACCCTGATGGACTCCATGCCGAAGATCTGCAAACTGCCGCGGTTTGACTACGGATCCCCTGGTAAGGGAGAAACACAGTGTTTAATATAATATTTATCTTGAACATATATGTTACAGTAGGTCTTGTACATAAGATCTTATAAAAGTTGCTGTACTTTTATTGTGTTGTTGAAGGTTTCTGTAGATAGAATATGGCCTTTAGGCCTATCTCTCTAGTATGTAAGTATTAACAAAAAAAACCATCCCCCCCCAGCGGTGTTGGAGTACTACTATGCCCAGCTGCAGGACATCATTAACTACCCCGAGCTGAAGACGGAGGTGTTCCAGAGCTTCCGCGAAGTTGGGAACGCGGTGCTGTTCTGCCTGCTGTGCGAACAGAGTCTGGTAAGTACCAAAACTCCGGTCTGAGACCACAGAAACTCTGGTCTGAGACCAACGCTGTGCTCTTCTGCCTGCTGTGTGAGCAGAGTCTGGTAAGTACCAAAACTCCGGTCTGAGACCACAGAAACTCTGGTCTGAGACCAACGCTGTGCTCTTCTGCCTGCTGTGTGAGCAGAGTCTGGTAAGTACCAAAACTCCGGTCTTAGACCACAGAAACTCCGGTCTGAGACCACAGAAACTCCGGTCTGAGACCACAGAAACTCCAGTCTGAGACCACAGAAACTCCGGTCTGAGACCACAGATAATGCTCTGCGGAAAAAAACTCAGGTATGAGATCATAATTAATGTTGCACAATCATTAAAATCTCCAGTCTGAGACAACAAGGAATTCTGTAATGCAAAAACTCTGAGAACACAAGTTTATTTGGTACCAGAGATCTTGAAAAATTATGTAGTATGTTGTCATTCCTGATTAGGTTGTGTTGTTGGATGCCAGAGTTGTAGTAACTGGTTGTTCCACATTCCTGCCCAGTCCCAGGAGGAGGTCCGAGACTTGTAAAAACGTAAAAACTCTAATATGAGATCATTGATCATTATGAATTCTGCAGTGGTAGATAGTAGGTTGTTATACCTGATTATGTTGTGTTATTGGATGCTGGTAGTAACTGGTTGTTTCACATTCCTGCCCAGTCCCAGGAGGAGGTCCGAGACTTGCTCCATGCGGCTCCCTTCCAGAACATCATTCCAAGGCAGTATGTCAAAGGTCAGGACTGGTAGCTTCATGTGTGGAATAGGAACATGTGAGGAACAGTAACTGTACAGTGATGTTTGTACGAGGAGTTACTGTAGGAACATGTGTGACGTCTGTAAGAGTTAGAGTGCCAGTAATGATGGTTGTAAAAGTCTTCTCAGTGGCAGAAAGTGTTTTATGTGTCTGATTGTACATATAACATACTTATTGCACAGTTTTATGTGTGTAATGTACTGTGAGTTTTCTATCTGTCCACAGAGGGTGAGAAACCGGAGGCCAAAATGAAAAAGTTGGAGCAGAAATACCAGGCTCTACAGGTGACTTCTGTCATCGAGAAACTGGGGACACCTCAGGTAAGATATGTGGAGACAATCCAGAACCGTGCCTGATCCTAACCCATTCAGGCACAGAACTAGATAGGCACAGTTCTCGATACAGTTCTGTGTTTCCCTTTGTATGTAGCAAGTTGTGACAGTTTAATAATGTGTTTCCCCTTGTGTGTAGCAAGCTGTGTTTATTTTGTATGTACAAATGTAGCAAGCCGCCATAGCCCCTGATGGACTCTCCATGTTTGAGACAGTTGTAACAGTTCTGTATGTAGCAAAATGTAACAGTTCTGTGTTCATTTTGCATGTAGCAAGCAGCAATAGCCCGTGAGGGAGACCTGCTGACTAAGGAACGCCTGTGCTGCGGACTCTCCATGTTTGAGATCATCCTGACTCGGATCAAGACTTTTCTGGAGGATCAGATCTGGCACGGCCCCCCTCCCGCAAACGGAGTCATGAACATCGACGAGTGCACCGAGTTCCACCGGCTCTGGAGCGCCATGCAGATCGTCTACTGCATGCCTGTGGGCGAGAACGAGTTCACGGTCGAGTGAGTAACATGTAACAATGTTGTGGTACCATGTAACAATGTTGATTGTAACAATGTTGCTGTTGTTTCAGACAATATGTTGGTGACAGCCTGAACTGGGCTATGTGGGTGCCTGATGACTATAACTGTAACCTGTAGCAATGTTGTGGTACAATGTAACAATGTTGATTGTAACAATGTTGCTGTTTCTCCAGACAATGTTTCGGGGACAGTCTGAACTGGGCTGGCTGCCTGAGGACTGTAGCTGTAACATGTAGCAATGTTTTGTTATCATGTAACAATGTTGATTGTAACAATGTTGCTGTTTCTCCAGACAATGCTTCGGGGACAGTCTGAACTGGGCTGGCTGTCTCATGACCATCCTGCTTGGCCAGCAGAGGAGGTTTGAGGCGCTCGACTTCGCGTATCACATCCTCAAAATCAACAAGGCAGACCTCAAGGACGATGTCATCAAGGGAGTGGTGAGTTGTGCACAGGGGCTGATGACATCACAGTTTTTCACAGTTTCTTTTAACAAAGTTTTACAAAGCCCATAGATTGTAGGAACATGACACTGCATGTTTAGCGATGATACTCACATATGGACAAAGCCTCTGACAGTAGAATAGTCTTTGGCATGTGTTTTTCTTTATTTACTAGAGGCATTTTTCAGTTATTTCAGAGCCAGATGTTTTACAACAGAGCATTAGTACTGCTTAACGAGATATTACTGCTTAATGAGATAGTACAACTTAACAAGTGATTACTGCCTAATGAGTTATTACAGCTAATGTTCAGCTTGTCCTGATGATATTTTTGCCCCCCTCCCCCCAGAACCTGCGTCGGATGTGTGACCGTATCCGTAAGTTCCAGATCCTGAACACGCAGATCTTCGCTACCGTCAACAAGTACCTGAAGTCTGGCGACGCCGACAGCCTGCCGGTGGAACACGTCCGCTGCTTCCAGCCGCCCATACACCAGTCACTCGCTAGCTCATGCTAGGCACCCATCCACCAGTCTCTCGCTAGCTCATGCTAGGCAGGCTAGATCTGCTAGACATCAAGGGACATGTTTAACTTATATACAGACTCTCATCCTTCAATCACTTGCTAGCTTATGCTAGGCTGGCTAGAGCTGCTACTTCTGGCTAGATCTGCTAGACAGCAAGGATCTAGGTTGAACTCAGACCAGCTCAATTTAACTGCCTGCTACATGTAGGTAATGCTGGCTCCTATACTAACTTGCACAAATTCTCTTGTTAAGCAATAAGTGTTTAGCTTTTCAGCTAGATATGGCCATGCTAGTTATTCAACCCATGGCTAGCTCATGCTGGAGCTCCTGCTAGGCAGCGATGGTCTAGCATTTAGCTACAGCCTTGATGTAAGATGTTGCCAGAATATTATCCAATGTTCAAAGCAATTCTACAGTTGCTTGTTTGTTGCCTAATGAAGATGATAACATGCGATGGTGTAACTGGTAACTAATCTGCCCAAATTGTTGTTTTTAAACAAAAGTTGTTGACTGAAGTGTGAGAAAAGTCTTTATCTAAATGACCAGTTGGCACTGATTAATACATGTACATTTTGTGTTCATATATCGCATTGTATTAATCTTATAGCATTCCCTAATACCTTTTGTAAGAGATTAATGCCAAATCAGCTTTTATGTAAAGGTGCACTGAGAGAAATTCAACAGGACATGTAAGAAGGGTTAGATAGACAATTGTCTGATACTGAGACATACATGGCTCCAAGCTAGACATTAATAGGAGATGTAAGAGTTAGGGAAATTGACAGGGTAGACTTAGGATTATTTGAGGTAAGCAGAAGTGTGGAGTGCTTGCTGTGTCATCCATTCAGCCTGTCCTCCATACACCACAGTTCTACCATAGATGCCACATGTACCGCCTGTGCCACATAATGCAGAATTGCCACAGGAAAAACTGCCATATTATTGCTACAATGTGAGAATCAGAGAGCTTTGCCATATGTAGTGTTAGGGTGTAGCCTAGTGTAGGCTTACATTTGCCATATGTAGCTATGTAGCCCTTCATAGCTTGATTACTTACACAGCAATCATGTACACCAAGCTTTTAGCTACTATACAGCATACAAATCTTCAGAATTTGTTTATTATGTTAACTTCTGGCATAAGGTACAATATCAACAGTTGATTTGCTACAACATTTTCCAGTTTGTATACTATTATAGGTTAGTTTCAGGGATATATTTAACATTTCATTCAGGGAAATGCCTCTGAAGTTCTGAATTTTCCAAGTGTTTTGTATAATTGTCTTCTGTACAAAGGGTGTTTGTCAGTCTGTATGATGTTTTCATTTAGAGATGAAGCCTGTAGTTTACAGCCAATTGTCTGGGACAGACCAGAGTTGGTATGGTTACATGATTATACTGACAGCCTATAATAATAAGTGAATTGTCAGCCTTTTAGTCTTTAGCTTTGACATACTTTTGTAATATGAACACAGTAAAATTATTCTTTTTTGTGTCTAGTATGAAGAGCACATATAGACAAGGTGGATCTTAAGCAAATTAAGCCAAATCTTTGTATTTTATGGACGTTATGATGAAGTTACAATGTAACTGCACTTGTTTGCATTCTTACATTCCCCTAAGGTTTCATCCCACTTGTGTTTGGTGCAGTCTTGTCCTGATTTTGTACATTATTACTTGACTACAGACCTTTACAGCAGGCAGATCTGTGTGTAGTACAGTTGAAGGTAACGGTTTGTAGTTAGCTAATTTGTTATGAGTGGTTACAACTCTGTAAATGTGCATGGGAAGAAATATATCAGTAACAACACATGACTTGTCTGACTGATTATTATGTAGAGTGGGTGACTTCTGTTGGGGAGGTAAAAGGCAGTGGAAGGAGAGGGATGAATGAAAATGAATGAATGAATGAATGAACGAATGAATGAATGAATGAATGGGCTCCGCCTTACAATACTAGTACTGGATTAACAATACACTGCCCCTACAGCCTGAAAAGGGCTATGGAACTACCTGTACCTTTTTTTACAGTGAACAGTTTACTGTGTACATTGTTTGTAACCGGTGACAGGTGTGTTTACCTGTGTGTGTGTGGATGACTAACTGATATTTATGTTGTCAAAGAGAATATGGTTTTCCGTAATAACTTCACCATTTCGATTTGCAGCATTATTATAGATACCAAAGGCGTTACAATGATGAAGATGAACTTGAGAAAAACGTTGTAAAAAAACACCTGTAGTGATTGATACGAAAGCAAACCCGAATCAGTCTGGCGGAGCTTTTGACTCGCTGCCGCGATGTTTGCTCGATTCAAACATCAGCCTCAGTTCGGCTGTCGGGCAAAGGTTACTTCGGACAGGTTTTTCACCTCTTCTGAAGAACTTGGCAAGGAAAAACCGACGAAAATTACAATGTATATACATGAAATCTGTTCATATGATAGTCATCATAGAGTCCACAGAACAGCTATTGTTTTCTATATCTAACTAAGCCCTGTGACATCGCGTTGGTACGTGTATGTGTGAGACTATGTCACAGTGTGACACATCACACTTTGATAGACCCACCCTTTGGGTACATACATGTACATTTGTACATGTCTTAAGTTAATCATTATGTTGCCCAGACCTTGCTTGCACGGACCCACGTCCTGGGTACACACCAGATAAAGAAGCTGTCTCTTTCTTGACTTAAGGAATTCGCACAAGGAGAAAACAAGATGGCGTCAGCTGGCGTGTTCCTGCGTGTGTCCGTGTGTGTGTCGGTCCTGTGCGTGTGCCGCGGCCTGACGGTGGGCCCAGCCCCCCGTCCGGTCGCTCTGGTGGTGATCGACGTGCAGAACTGCTTCGTGCCGGGCGGGGAGAACCCGGTCCCGGGCGGCGCGGAGGTTATTCCCGTCGTCAACGGGCTGCGGAGCCGCTACGGGGCTGATTTCGACCTAGTGGTGATGTCCCAGGACTGGCACTGTGCGGACCATGTGTCCTTCGCCTCGCAACACCCGGGGTGAGTATACATCACGTATACATCAATATATCAGGTAAATATCACGTAAACACCACGTATACATCAGGTATACATTACGTAAATATCACGGTATACGGGCCCATTCTAGACCTGGTGGTGATGTCCCAGGACTGGCACTGTCCCGACCATGTGTCTTTCGCCTCGCAACACTCGGGGTGAGTTTCACGTTAACATCCCGTATACATGCCGTAAATATCAGGTATATATCAAGTAAACATTCAGAAAAAGTGGCATCGGTGTGATATTTTGAAAGAAAACTTTGATGTGAGATTGAGACCACTTTTTGTGCGTAAAGGCGACCGTGTCTGAATATGGCCATGTCTCCGATATACATAAACGATGACGATAACGCAACAAAGAAAACGACACTTCACGTATACTTTGTTGTATGCATGTGCCCTCATGTCGAAGTTGCTAAGGACACTTGTATATATTTGCATTTGGACAAAAACAGGGACAATGCAGCGCTACACTGAAGTTAATAACTTACTCCAACAGCGCACCGCATACAAAGAACAAACATAGCCTAGTATATACGAATATAAGGCCAATAATATGCCTGTATGTATAGGTCTGCCTCCTTATGTCATCACTACCAATGATGTAACTTTAAACGTTACTGTCTGGTCATTCGCGTCTCGTGTTTTCCCCAGTTACTCTGACTACGACGTGATGCAGTTAGACTACAACTCGCAAGGGGCGCTGTGCACCGGTCCGTCCCCGTACGCAGTGAACTGTACAGACGGCATCGCGCACGCGCTGAACCAGACGCTCTGGCCGGACCACTGCGTCATCAACACAACAGGTTAGGATAGTTTTCTTTTCTTCTTCTTCTTCTTTTTTTTCTCTATGATATGCTAACTTAAACAATAGCCTGGGTTGTAACATTACAATAACACTCCTGGCTAATCATTGGTTTACAGCAACTGCAAGGTTCTAGAAGTCCTGGAGTGGTGGTGGAAAAAAGAAGCCGGTGTACTCTTGTTTTCAAGGTTGTTGTCAGTGATCAGGCCGACCAGTGATCAGGTTATACGATTAGGCACGATTCTGGATGGTCCACGCGCATCCAGAACCGGGTTTTATCTAGAACCATACTCAGGCACGGTTCTGGATGGTCCAGTTAAGTTACGTCTTGAGTTATGTCTTGAGTTATGTCTTGAGCTGTATAATTCTTGTATAAGCTGTATTCTGTATAATTCATGTATAAATCCCGTATAATAAATGTTCTGCCCAGGTGCTGAGTTCCACCCCCAGCTGACCACCGAGTCCGAAGACCTGGTGGTCAGGAAAGGCTACCGATGCGAGGTGGGTTCCGACAGACGGGAACAATCGTCACTTATACTTTCGTTGTATCTTAAACAGAACAGTGGTTTGTTAAGCTTGACCACGTAAGGCTAAAGATTATGCATTTATTGCTAGGGTCGGCAGCTTTTTCCTAAGGCCTTAAGCCACCTGCAGGTGGACTCGTACTCGGCGTTCTACGATAGGTATGAACTTGTTTCAGTGGCAACCCTCTGATTCCCAGCTAAGTCACCTGGTTAGATACATGTAACTTGAACTTGAACTTGTACCCCTTAGGTTGACTCGTACTCTGCGTTCTATGATAACGGCGGGTTCCGGCAGACGGAGCTGGACGGGCTGCTGCGGGCCCGGGGCGTGCGGAGTCTGGTCATCACGGGGCTGGCGCTGGACTTCTGCGTGGCCTACACGGCTCTGGACGGGCAAAGGCTCGGGTATGTACATGTAACTATGTAATAGTGTGTGTGTGTGGGGGGGGGGGCTTATTGTAAGTTACAAACATAAAAGAACATTGAAACAGGGTATAAAATGTACATAATGAAATCTAATTGTCTGAAACTATTGCTATGTCTAAAACTATGTCTGAAGGGCTTGACTTCTCTTTTGTGAACCATGGAAGACGTAATGTCCCACCTTTTAATAGACCCACCCGACGGGCTCTGGACGGGCAGAGGCTCGGGTATGTAACAGTGTGTGGGGGTGGGGGGTTAAAAGCGCTAACAACTGATCCGTCTGACGGGCCTAGCGAAATCAATTTCTGGTATTATACAATTCAGTATGTCTTTGGGGGAAGATCGTGGACAGGCCATAACAGCTTTTTACCTTCCCCCGCATATCTCTTTTATTACGTATGTTATGTTCTTTTCATTTCTTTGATCACATGCGAATAAACGAACAAACAAACAAACAAGTCTTTTAGCCGAATGGTTAGAGCGTTGGGGTGTCAACTGGGGTGGGCGTGGGTTCGCTTCCCGGGGCCAGGAGTGTCTTTTCTGTTTCTAGTCGCTCCTGTTAACCATGATGTAAATACTAGATGTCAGCATTTATGAGCATTTATGCAGTTTTTATGTCCTTGTTCTATGTTTTTACGGTCCAGGAAGATTAGCTGCGTATTCGTGTATTTGCGCACGACAGCTAATGGACTGGATAAAGTATCCAAGTATCCAGTATCCAAAGTATCCTGTTTGTTTCAGGTACGACACGTACGTGGTGCAGGACGCGGCCAGGGGGATCACACAGGCCGGGGTGGACCGGGCGCTGGCGGACATGCAGGCAGCGGGGGTCACTGTTATACAGGCGACGGGGCGTGGGGAGGGTGCTGGGGGTGGCAGGGGGGTCGGGACGCCCGGGGGGTACTGTCCCGGGGGTGGGGTTAGCCTCGCTAATGGCAGCACTGGCAGTTCTTATCATATTTTAAATTCTACTGTTATTCTACTATTTTTATTTCTGAGCTGGATACATGTACTTCCTTTTGTCAATGTCATCACCCCAATTCAGCCTATGCCAGAAGTGTTTGACATGCGAGTGTAACATGTAATGTAGAAATAATGTAAAAATAATCCATTACTAAATCTTTGAAAATGAACAAAACACCGTCGTGATGCCAAAGATTCCATTTTAATGTCCAACATCATACATTTGTACATTTGGTGACGTAAATCGTGAGTCCATATCCATTCCGGTTCGTTTCCGTTATTGTTATAAATATCAAAGTATTTCCTTAAATATACATAAATCTGCATAAAACATGTCTCCATTGACATTCATTCATAGTTTAGGTAGATAAGTTATATATTATGTTCTGATATATCATATATTTATCAAAAAGTCAAGTTACCAAGTAAAAACAGTGATATTGCACTTGTGATTTTAATGGTATTTTCTGAAAAGTCACGAACTATCTATGAAACTGTTTCCAATTGCGATACATATATCCCTAACTATTGTACCTGTCTATATGAATCTACGACAAATTACATTATGATCAAGCCTAATCAATTTGAAAATACCTTCCATAAATATATTTTTTTGATTTTTTCTAATATCATAGTTACAAAAATAAAGACTATTTGGTCACTGGCCGCCGTTCGTAAGCAGAAAGAAACGTGGTCAGTTTTGCCGAGCGGTTATTGTAATAGCGGCTCAACTGAAGCCCCACGCATCTAACCTGTGCTAGTCATAAGCAACCCTGTGTTTCTATCTATAAACCTACAAGTGAAAATATTTTTTGACATTTTCATTTTCTTTTAACGAATATAGACTTACGCATAAATGTAATATATGTAATGTGATATCAATATAATAGTTCATCTCATATCAATTCTGCACAACATAATATCACACCAGTGTCTCGGTCAGAGATCAGAGATCTGCTTGGAGGTTGGACATGATGACGCGTGATGACGCGTGATGACGTGTGATGACGTATGCTGACGTCTGCCTACCTACAGGCGCATGACCCGGCGACCATATCCGGGTACTCCTTGTAGACGATGGAGCCGTTTTCCTCGTAGTGCAGCACGGAGATGGGGCGGAGCGAGTCGGGTACGCAGCGGGCGGGCGGCAGGCGGGCTCGGACCGTGCCCAGGATGTTCTGCACCACGGCGTGGTTGGTGGGGCGGAGGTGCTGCCCCATGATGGCCGGGCACCCCCCGCGGCAGTAGAACGCGCGGTACCCCGCCGGGGCGATGATCCAGTCCCACCCAAGCTCCGTAAAGTCCACGTACAGCTCGTGCCGTCTGCAGGGCCGCCGGGGACGCGCGTTACCGGCGCGGCTGTGGGGGCA